ACACTGTTCTGGTCCTGGCTGTGGGCCTCTGCCAGTTCACCAGGACTCTGACCACTTCTGCTCACTGGTGGCTTCCTGGATTTCCTGAACATTCTCGGTGGATCATTAACCAGCAACATTAATTCATTCATGTGCCTCTTCCAATTACTGGCACTGTCCCTCTGCCTGGTAACTTATTATCAAATGTGGTGATCTCAGATTCTCACTCGTATTGGGTTTTCCTACTGACCAAAATTAGCAGAATGCTTCCAGAACAATTCCTGCTTGCCTTGGTTTTCACAAAATCCCTCTAATCTCCTCTCCTGGCTTCTTGTCAGCCATCCTCATTCAAAAAGGGCTTATTTGATTTCCTGCTCATCATTTTCTCATGCCTAGAACATAAAGCAAAGCTCTGTAGTCTGATCATATCACTATGGCTCTTGACATATTAAAGGAGAAATCAGGTACAGCTTTTTTCCCCTCTAGAGGCTCGCAAGATTGCTGAGTCCCAGAATCAGCACCAAGATTCAGAGCTGATGGCCAACTTCTCCCAACATTTCTATTCCAAGGATCTGTCCTGACATTCCCCAGAGGATAGCAAGCCTTCTGGGTGGTTTAATAATTTTACCATCTACAATTGACCCTACCTACAGAGACACATCTATGTGGAAATAAAAGAAAGAGGACAAGATAGTGGAAAATTCCAAACTGAACTGTTGAAGGTAATGGAGACAACTCAACTGGGAAGCTATCTGGATCGTGCTCAAAATCTTGGGCACATCTTTAATTCATTTGCTCTTTTGTTTGGTATTTGCAATCATGGGTGTTTTATCACAGACTTTAAGCTTGGTACTAAATAAAGAAAAAAGTCCTCTGACAGCTGCACAAGGAGCTTAATTAGGAACCTCTTTAAGTTTACTTAAAAATGCATAATTGATGTAGAAACATAGGAAGCAGATAGTACCCCCTTAACATCCTCACAATATTTTCAAAGTTGCTGATTGTCACATTTGTTTCATATCATCTCGTAGATGTCATGTTCTAGCTCCTTTTTATCTTAATCCAGGGCCACATTTCAGTTTAATAATTCATTAGCAGTTCTTCAGAACTTATTGCCTGCTGAGTTTACTAAAGACTGATTAGCAATTTTATCATTTCTAAGTTTTTTATATACATTTTCAGTGTCATCTCCTGCTGATTTGAAAACTCTTGTTTGAAATAACTTATTATTTGTCACTTTTTTCTTCTTGGATGCCATGCATATATTTCTTTCTATCCCTCTGAGTATAAACCACTGAAGCTGGAGATCTTTTCGGTCATTCTGCCATGTAGAGTACCTATTTTAATGGCATTTGATATTTCAGAGAAGCTTTATTCTTTCTTTCATTGATAACCATCATCCAGAGCCAGGTGGTATTCATAGTTAACTATGGCATAACTGGGCAAAACATTGGCACTGGAGGAAAAGTCACCTGGAATTTAAACTTTGTCTCTATTAATTCCTATTTGGTTGACTTTAAACCACTTTTTAAACGTAACTTTTCTAACTTTCAGTTTCCTCATTTATAAAGTGGTAATAACTACTTCCTAGTTTTGTTATTGCTAATAGATGATTTTATATTTTTAAAATATGCAGTTTTTGACCTGAAAAAAAAAATACTTGGTTAAAATTTTCTTTCATTTATTTTCTTCTTTTTAGTCAAGCTAACATTAACAAACTCTTCACTGGTTTCATTTTAACACACATGGCATCATTAGAGATACTAAAATAGTGTCTTTTCTCATTTTAAATGCAAAGTATTCCCAATTTTGTTGTACCACATCAATTTTTATACTCCATTCTCTAAAACCTGCTTAATAAGGCTGATTGTGATGCCTCCACATATGCCCCTAAACTGCCATTTGCTGATATCTCAATGGGATCCAATAGAGGAAGAATGGGCAGTACTGACCCATGTAAATCATAACTCTTTGCAAAGGCACAGCTGAGTCACACATTTTAATGGGAAGAACATTTGCAAAACGACCTTTTGCAAACTTAGACTAATCTCACCCGGAGTCAACATTTGCATTTAGCTGTTTTAATCTGATGGGTGTTTGAACCATAGTTAAAAACCTGAGATTTCAACCAGATGTTAAAATAATAATTTTTAGAGATTTCTGGTTTGTGTAATGCCATATAACCCAAATTTCCCCCCTAATATTTGAGAAGAAAATTGCACCATTTTTCAATGTTGAAAGCCACCTTTCATGATTTCCTGGCAGATCATAAAAGACATAATGTATGTTTATTTGTGAAAAATTAGAAAATTCGGAGATGGACTAAGAAGAAAGCAAAAACCATCCCAGTGTCTTTTGCTCTTTTATGTATTTCCGTTAAGGATAGAGACTGGCCCTAGGAACTTTCTATTTTTGTTCATGTTGCAATTTTTTCGACTTAGATAATCTAGAGAGCAGTGTGGGATTGATAGCAATTTTCATTTAATAACCTTACCTCTGCCATTTCTTAGCTGTCATCAAAGAGTGCATTGCTTCTGAAGGAGAGTTCCATGAGAGCAAAGACAGTGTAGCAGTAGGAAAGACTAAGGTGGGGAGACACTGCTTCATACAGACAGCAAACTCATCCCAAGACAACCTGTCTCAGAAATGAGAGCTCTGTCTCCTAGTCGCCTGTTAATAAAACTTCTGGTTGAATTGAAAAAATTAAGTCAGAATTTTCTTGACAGAAATCAGGTCTTCTTTGGCAGTTTTTTTTTTTTTAAATAATGAGAATGGCTTTGCAACACAGAGTAAATATTTTTCATAAACAAAATTACCTAAATTTTCAGTTCCAGTGACTTAATTTCATATGTAAGCAAAACATAATAAGGCAAAAGCATTTTGATCAAATCTTTTTCCAAGAAAATCTATTTAAGTAACTATAATTTAATTTTCCTGATCGTTTTTACAGGTTAAGCCTGGTGCCTCTACATAAAATAAATCGATAACTTATGCTTATTTGATATACCTTAGTACAGTCTTGTTGTTTTACTCAGAAAGTGAGAAAGTAAATGGTAACATGAACTAGATAACATATCATTTAGCAAATAAAGTTGTCGCTAATTATTTGCTTTCAAGAATATTTAAGGGGAGCTTAATTAAGCTGCCAGCCAATGAATCACTAAAAAGAATATTTGATTATACTATAATCAGTTGCAAAGAAATATAATAATCAGCAAAAACCTTTGAACACAATAATGTACATATATACTCTTTGCTTATATTTTTAAAATGATCTTTTAATAAAATTTGTGTTTGCATTTAATGCCTCTTATACTTTTTACAATATTTATGTTGCTTTGATAAAATGTAAATACATAATTAGCATAAAATTTTATTATCTTGAATCTGATGATCAAAAATAAAACATTAAAAAAATCATAATGTATGTGTATGTACACTATACATGTAGGAGATATATAAGTAGAGTATATGGAAATAGAGTATATACATTATACATGCTTATGAATTGATTTATTGAATCTTACACAAAATTCAGTACACAAATAATAAACATATGCAACATGCTATTATATTCAAATATTTTTATTTAATTATTCTATTCTCCACAACCAACAAACTATAATCAACAACATGCTTAATCAAACTGATATATTACAGTAAGAAATTTTTGAGGGAAAGGGATTAAAACTATAATTTCAAAAAGAAAAAAGAAATGGGTAATGAAGTTAACCAAATTATGTTATGTGTATATACAAATACTTAACAATGAATCCCACTATTTTGTATAATTTTAAGGCACCAATAAAATTTTAAAAAATTAATTAGTAAGGAAGGGAGGAAGAGGAAAAAGGATGAGCTTATTCATTTATATTTAAATAAAATCACTATGAAATTTATATTTTACTTATACATTTTAAGAATGATATATTAGTTTTATTTCAAATTTTCAATATCCATAATCACTGAAAACTGTATTTCTTAAAAACTATTTTAATGTATGATTATAATTTTTAGATATCACCTCTAAAAAGTATAAGAGCATACAAAACTTTTCAAAATTTTTATTTGGGTAAATGAACACAAATCTACAATTTCATTCTTCAAATATACCCATAAATATTTATAATAATGAGGCAAGTTGGTGGTTTTCTTGATGTCATGTTTCATTCTAAAAATAATTTTTTCATCTTCTTTGCTACAGTCATGACATTAGATCCTAATAATGCAATGGTGAAGGCAGGGTTGCTTTCCTCAAAGAATTGCACTTTAGCAGAAGAGAGATGATTAAAACAGAAATTATCACAACAAGGTTATGTGCACCACAGGGGCCTGCTCCAAATAATGCAGAAGTGTTTTGGAGGGGACAGAGGAGACTGTGTAGAAAAACTTACCTCTAACTTGATTCCTGAAGATGTAGTGAGGATTTTCCAGGTGAAAGGAAGAAAAAGAGGAAAATAAAATTCCCAAAACAAAGTATAACATGTACAAAAACAAATGTCAAAAGAAAAACAAACAATGGAAGGAAAAGAAGCAGGAAGAAACGCAAGAGGAAAGGATGATATTCTCCAGCTCCATCCATTTACTGGCAAATGCCATCATTTCATTCTTCTTTCTGAGTGAATAATATTCCATTGTGTATATATACCACATTTTTTTTTATCCATTCATCTATTGAAGGGCACCTAGGTTGGTTCTATAGTTTAGCTATTTGAATTGAGCTCCTATAAACATTGATGTGCCTGTGTCACTGTAGTATGCTGATTTTAAGTTCTTTGGGTATAAACAAAGGAGTAGGATAACTGGATCAAATGGTGGTTGCATTCCAAGCTTTCTGAGGAATCTCCATGGTTGGAGAACAGATGAATCATGGTTCATGAACTGCCCAGAAACAGAGGTGATACCTCTCTTGGGAATTTCTTGCTGCAAAGGCAGCAAGAACCCCCCGCCCCCAGGTGCATAGAGACATGCTATTCAAAGGGAAATTCTGTGGTTACCATGGAGTTTATCAGTTCATGACTTAAGGTTCAAACGCCAGCCACCCAGGGGTGGAGAACTGTGGGGCACAAACTGATGGCTATAATTGGGCTGTTCAAATTTTTGACCTTGGTTATCTTTTAAAGTAACTTTCTTGCAATGAATTCAATCTCTCTCTCATGAGTAGTTTGGTGGGTCTTATTTCCAATCCTCTCACTGCCCCACTCAGGGAATTGAATAAACGGACAGCAGTTGGTGGCTGAAACAGGAGTCCATACACTCATGGGAACTGACATTTGTATTAAGGTGAGTAGACACTCCTCAAAAAGAGACATTGTTGGTTAAGGAAGGGGAGGATCGAGTTTATATGTAGCTTGATGCAAAGCATGGGGCATTCTGAAACTAAAGAAAGAGAGCTCTTTGTTAGGATGCTTAAGATTATTTACAGGGCTGCCCCATGATTTAATCATAAAGTGTAGGCTGGCACAATTTTTAGAACTTGTTGAAACTTTCCCGTGGTTTCCAGAAGAGGGAACTGTGGATTTAAAAATTTGGGAGATACTTGGTAAAGAGCTACGTGTTGGGTATGCAGCTTCTGCAGAAACTTTGACTTTGTGGTCCTTAATATGAAATTGTCTTTATTCATCTTGTATTAGCATGGAATGTTTGGCTCCTCATCTGGTTTCTGGCTTTGAAGATGCAGTTGGAGTCTTCAGCCTGCAGCATCTCCTGCTGCCCCGGTACCTGCCCAGTTGAAGTCTTTGTCTTCTGAGACCAGGCGGGGGTAAGGGAGAAAATAATAAAAAACTCTGGCCACAGCCAGCCTTAAGAGAAGTTTTGCAGCCTCCTTGGAAAACATATAAACTACCGGCACCACACAGATCACAGGAAAAAGGTGTCATTTTAAAATCAAGCTGTTTCTGACTCAGATGGGGCTGAGAAAAAATTAAAAAGTATTGCATTTAATCCTAGCTTCTTCTGCCCTAGCTTACCTGGCTGTTAATAACGTCCCTCCGTTTTTCTCAGGAGATAAAAATGAAAAGAATCTGGATGTACAAGTTTTGCTTTTCTTGAAAACCTTTTCTGAGGATTTTACAGGCTCTCATATTCTTTAAATACCTGAACTGACTCTAATCTAAACCAGAAGTGTGCTCTGACTTAGTAAAGTTACTTTTGCATGTTCTTTTAGAAATTGCAGCCATGTCATCTTTTTTCTTCTTTTAAGAACTCCTGATTCTATATTTTTGAGTTCATGATTTTATGGTAAATTCACATTTGATATTACACACCTAAATTAATGTATTTTTCTGCTTAGTTTTATTTTATCTAACTATGGAGTCTTTTACACTCTGTATTTGTTCAGAGGCCAATTTTTCCAGGGATGGTGGTGCTGGGGGAAGGTCTGATAATCATCAGGACAAAAGGCAGCTGTCTGAAATCTTTTATTTCAGTGTCCTTATGATTGTTGGATCTTGCACCTGACATTTCCATCTGCACAAGCCTGCGCTACATTTAAGTCATAATACAGAAGTATGATTGGTTCTATTTTAATTTCTAACAGGTTAAATCTAAGAGAGGCTTTAATAAAAATCTGTAACATTGACTCCTACCTGTGGCACTCCACGTGCAAAAACTTATAAAACCTTTGGGTTTTGTCTGTTTAGTGTACGTGTGTTCGTTGGTATTGTGTGTTATTATGTCTGCACATGTGTGGTATGTGGTACTACAATTAACAAATAGATAAATTGGTGCTCATTAATTAAGAATTGGATCCATTTTTCTCTTTAATTTATGTGACTTAAAAGCAAATTAAGTTTAAATTAGGTAAACAGATCAAAATAAAGATGTCTTTAACATCGGTGACTCACAAGCTTCACTAGGTGGTCAGACAATTATTAAAGTGTTGTTTTCTATAAAATATCTAAAATATAATATTCATTGCTTCTGATAATTTTCTTCAACAGGAAAGAGATGGTTAATGCTGTTAATTGCATTTGTTTAGTATCTTGGCTTTTACAGTTAAAAATAAGTAAATTAGATTTACCACAAATGGGGCTAATCTTCATGAATGCATTTGTTAAAGGAGACATCTAATTATTTTACAAAGTACAGGTGCTAAAACAGCAACTGCTAAATATAAAATCAAATACTCTTATTCTCTTAAATTCCTTAAGGAAATATATTTAAACATTGGATGTGTTTTCATAAATTTCTTAGTAAAAACGTTTTAAGACTGCTTTGTCTTTTTCTTTATTGAAAACAAAATTACTAAGAGTTAACGCTTTAACAGGTATAATTCTACATTCAAAGAGTCCAAAAGTTTCAGCTGTGTTTCAATTAGAGTATTGTAAATAACCTAAAAGTATTTCACCTTATTAAAGTGGAGTAAGTTGCAAAGGGTTTGTGAAGTGTAAATTCAAAAAATGTGTAACTAAGTTGGTTATATATATAATTAGCATAAACAGTTGGAGCTATTCAAGGTTTTTTCCCCTAAGGTCAAATATTAATATACTGATATAAACCAAAAGTTTAACTTTTTATGTGTTAAAGTAATAAGAATTTCTTAAAACATTAATTAACTCTCATTCCAACAAAACAATGTCTTGTATAAAGTTTTATTATTTAGAAAAACTACTATCAAAGAAATTAAGATTTGTTAAAATCTGGTTAAACAACAATTGTCATTTTAAAGTATTAAATTACTTTCCAGATTCAAATTTTTTCTTAGCTAAACTTTGTTAATGTAAAAACATCACTGAAATTGTGATGCTGTTGCTAGCTACTTTATATACTAAATGTGTTCTTATTGACTAAGTATACAAGTTTTTAAAGATGTAAAAGAACATTTTATCAAGCTTGTGTTCTCCAAACTAAACTGCTCTGTAACAGTGTTCTCTTACAAACTTATATAAAAACAACAAATTTAGTTAAAAACTTATTTATGTGTTGTATGTGGTACTATATAAAATAATTTTACTTAACTATATATATTTTTGTTTTAAGATCACAGTAATTAGATAAAAATAATCTGTCATAAGTTATAAGATTTTTGTTACTCTTTACACTGTGATGGGAAGTTAAATACATTTTTTAAAAGGTTAATAAGGAGAGCCTGGTTTACTTAGAGATTGACAGTATGAATGGAATATAAAGACATTTTGCCACTTTCCCACAAAAGGTTAAAAGCTCTCTTAACTTGTTTGATTCATGTTTCAGATGTGGTACTAAATTGAGTTAACTGATTCATGGAGACTCAAAAAAATGATCATAAAAACTTTATAAATTAATATTTTTTTAAAAAGTGAGACTAAAATCAGTTTCAAAAATAACACACCTTACCTATGATTTGTCAAGAGGCCACCTCACCTAAGTTAAGACCTGTCTTTCATCTTATTCCATCTTATGATAACTATTCACATTCATTTAAAATTAAGTTCAAAATAAATTTTTGTTATAAAAATTACTGCGATCTTAAAACAAAAATATATATAGTTAAGTAAAAATTTGAAATTATAAAAAATCATATTCCTTGGTTCATAGCTACTGTATTAACTGAATATGGATTTGTTTTGTTTGGTTTGGTACTGGGGATTGAACCATGTGCCTTGTGCATGTGAGGCAAGCACTCTACCAACTGAGCTATATCTCCAGCCCAGAGTGTTTTTAACCTTGTTAATTTCATTTTGTATTTTCCATGTAAAATTTATAATCCCCAAGGCCAAGTTATTGTAAAGGGGGCCCACTTGTCCCTCAAGTTATTATTTAAAAAACAAAAAGAGGAAGACAGAACCCCACTCAAAATTGTTTGAATCATGCTACTTTTGTTTTAAATTTTTAACTTGTTATGTTAAAGTTTGCACTGCTGCTAAGCAACACATGAATCCTACCACAGTAGGCCCATCAAGCTTAGTCTGGAGAAGAGACTTATCAATAGGACAATGAAGTGGACCAGATCCAGTGATAATATGGGGGTACAGGACATGCTTGTATCTATCCAGAATGTGCAGCTCATCCCATCTGGGTAGCAGAATGTACCATTCTACATTATCATGGATGAATTGGAGCTGCAGTTCACACAACTGAATCTCAAACTGGTTTTGTTGATTCTGACTCCCAGTGGGAACAAGAAGCTGAGAAGGAAGAAAAAGAAGAAGGGGAAGAAGAATCTGTGGACCCAGAATGCCAACCTGCCAACATGGGGAAAACTGAAGAACCTGACTCATCAAACTGGTCAGATAGTCAAACAGCAGGGAAGCCCTAAGTCTCCAGCCACTATGTTTGTGGATCCTGCATGGCTTTCTGTGCAAATACTTTATGATTCAAATGGCTTTAATCCTTGGTTGGTTGGTCCACTGAGTCACGATTTTTCTATATTTTATGTTTGTGTGTCTTACTTCCAATCCTCTCACCACCCCATAGGAGAAATGAATAAACACTGAGTGGGCCACGGAATCTCCATACTGCTTTTCTTAGTGGTTGCACCAATTTGCAGTCCCACTAGGAATATACGAATATACCTTTTTTCCCCACATCTTCACCAGCATTGTTATTTGTATTCTTGATAATTGCCATTATGACTGGAGATAAAATCTCAGTGTAGTTTTAATTTGCATTTTCCTGCTAGAGATGTTGAACCTTTTTTCATATATTTGTAGACTGACCACATTTCTTCTTCCATAAAGTGCCCATTTATTAATTGATTAATTTGTTGTTGTTGTTGTTTTGATGTTAAGTTTTTTGAGTTCTTCATATATCCTGTTGATTAATATTCTATCTAATGTGCAGTAGGAAAAGATTTTCTCCCATTCTCTGAGCTCTCTCTTCACATTCTTGGTTGTTGCCTTTGAATGAAGAAGGTTTTTAGTTTGATACAATCTCATTTGTTGATTCTTGATTTTACTTCTTGCTCTTTAGGAGTCTTGTTAAGGAAGTCAGTTCCTAATCCAACATGATGTAAATTTTGGCCTACTTTTTCTTCTATTAGGTGCGAGATCTCTAGTCTAATGACTAGGTCCATGACTCACTTTGAGTTGAGTTTTGTGCAGACAGGGGTTTAATTTCATTTGGCTACATATGGATTTCTGGTTATCATGCTAAGTGAAACAAGCCAATCCCAAATACCCGGAGATCACATGTTTTCTCTGATATGAAGATGTTAACTCACAATTGGGGGTAGGAGCAGGGAGAGAATAGCAGTACTTTTGGTTAGACAGAGAGGGAATGAAGGGAGGGAAAGGGAATGGGAATAGGAAAGATAGTAGAATGATTTAATTCTTATTCTATGTGCATATATGATTACACAACCAATGTAATTCTATACCATGTACAACAGAAGAATGAGAAGTTATATCCCATATATATATATTAATTTGCATTTTTTGCATATATATGTCAAAATATATTCTACTATCATGTAGAAATAATAAGAAAAAATGAAAACATAAAAATTAAAGGAGGAAAGGAGAAAGAAAGGGAAGGAAGGAAGGACATGTTGGGTTAAGCAAGCACAGAGAACAGGAAGGTTTCACTTAAAATAAAACTTTACAAACACTTTTTTAATATAAAAATTATCTTCTTATACATGAAAATTAAGGGGATAAGGTCACAACAGCCTTAGAACGCAGAAATTTGTGATGACTATTTTTCCATTTCAGAGGGAGACCTAGATGAAATGAAGTACTTTATGAGGAGGTTGTTGGGGTTTTTAGCCCCCGTCTCTTCCTGACTGGTGGGAGAAGCAGGGAAAGCACGCCTCGACCAGGACAAGCCAGCCCTCCCTCGTCGGAGGACAATCAGAAGCGCCAGGGAGTCAAAGCAGGATCTCCTTTAATAAG